TTATTATTCTCCACTACAAAAACGTGGTTTTTAAAAATATTACTTTTTATTTTGATTTTTTTCATTATTTTACAATAATTTAGGCTAAAATAAGTAAAAAATATTATAATACCAATTTATGTAATTTATGGTTATGAAATACAACATGAAACACCGGTGTCTTTTTCTGCGTTAAAGGTAAAATCTTCCAAACAATAATGTCTCAAACTTGCACTTATTTTCATGTATTTATATCTAAGAGAAACAGTTATTCATCATTGAAATTTCTTTAATTTATAAAATTAATTTTTGATAAATTTTTAAATAGGAATTAAAAAGAAATCGCAAATTTCTTTTTTTTTTTGGTATTTTATATTTCAGTACAAATATAATTCCGATTATCTCCAACAGATTTTTTGAGTGACTATTAAACTGTTAAAAATAAAATTAAAAATATATCAAAATATACTTTTACTTGTAATTAGAGAGTCAGAAAAAAATGTTTAAAAGGAACACCGGTGTCCCATCTGCGTTAAAGAGCTAATGAAATGTCTCTGATTTGAGGGAAGCATTGTGTTCTGACCCTTGTTTTTTTTTAATGCTATTAACTCAATGAACGGCGTTACGTTCATTGATTTAATAGCATGAGGAAACAGGTATAAAGCATAGAAAACCGGTATTAATAACCAAAAGAAATTAAAAAAAAAAAAAAACATTGTAAAGGAAAATTTCTGGTACAAATTTCACAGAACGATATTTTTTTTCTTTTCTTTTTTTACACTCACATAGTTTGCAAAATTCATTAAAATCTTGTAGTGTGTGAAACATTTTGATTGCAGTTAAGAGGAAAAAGAGTGCGGGTTAACTCCATCAAAAAGTCCTCCACAAAAGCAAATTTCTCCTAATACTCAATCCAGGAGTTCCCTTGTCTTCTGGATTGAGTTCAAAATTATAAGGCTAAGGAGTTGAACATTAGTAGTCGTAAACCCATATAATTGGGTCGGCTGTTCAACGACGGTTATAAAATAAAATAGCTTCAATACCAAAGCGTTCAAAAAGCTATAAGTTCATGCGGCAACAGAGCCTTTGAAAAACAACCGTTAACTTGTAAAATCAGGTTAAGCGAGTTTGGTCGTAATTCCTAAACAGCAGGAGGTAACATGCAACCAAAAAATAGTTTTTAATTACGATAAATACCAGATATACAATACCTCCAAGACAAGAACAGAACTTTGAGCAAGGTAGATGGAGATAAGAGAGCCGTACACGGATATTGCATTAGAGAAGGGAGGGAGGGTGGATTTTAAAGAAAGCTTTTACAAGATTTTCCACCTGAACAAGGAGAAAAATGGAATCCTGAAGTGGAGTCGTTTATTTTACTTAATGCTGAGACTAAGAGGACGAGTGTTCTTAAAAGAACTTTCAGTATAGATAATGGAAAACTGCAGCCATCTTTTGCATACTGAAGAAGATGGGAGGAAAAAGCTATTTAAATCTATTTGGGAGAGGATTTCTCATTTAAAGTGATACACAGTGCATCTAGTATAGCCGTTATGAATGTGAGATCAATAAACAATTCAATACGAATTGGAGAGAATTCAAGAGAAATTTGTTGGGAAATAAGATTTCAAGGAATGTCTGAGGAAGAGGGTTTTTTTCCCCGATGAATTCATCATTTGCAACTAGACATTCAATCACTTTTATTTTAATAAATGTATGACAGTTGAAGAACAAAGGGAAAATATGCCAAATGACACTTTTGGGATTTAAAAAAAAATCGATTTATTTTGAGTATTGTAAGCTGTTAACATTGAAAACTAGTTTCAGGGGAAAAACACAGTAGAAGCCTGTACGAAAGATTTTTTAATGAATTTTGCATCGACTGTAATAAACTTGATACATGTTTTTTTCTTATCTTATTGTTCATATTTTAATCTTCATTTTATAATGTTACAATTACAAAAATTTTAAAAATTAGCGCTAATAAAAATACAATGTTTATAACTTATCTTTAAATTAGCCGTAAATTGCTATACTTGTAAAAAAAAACATTTAAATTTGATTTTATTTTCAAACTACACGAATTTGGTTTTCATTGCAAGTAGGACTTTTAAGAACGATTTTTTTCGGAAAAAAAAAAGATCTAACAAAACTATATTTATTGTGAACATTGTCATCAATACCAAGTCCATAAGATGCTTTTTCTCCGTCATTTTCAGCAGACTTAAGTGCAAACATAGCCCCTTTTTTTGTCGCCCTTGTATGTTTTTAGAGTGGCAGCTGAAATTCAACGGTCATCTTCATTTCGGCTGCTGGGCATAAATTTATTTTTATTTGTTCCAAAACTGTCAATAACCCTTTGCAACTTTCATTAAAAATTATTACAGCTAAATAAGTTACAATTTTAACTATTAATATAGAAAGTTTCATTCCTTTTTCTTACATAAGTTAAACAAACTGCTTTAATAAAATAACAGTATTTTACTAAAATATTCTGATGAGAGTGAGCAAATTCATTAATTAACTGCGTGTGCAAGTTAATTGGTTGCACGCAAATTTATATACATGTCACAGCACGTCTTGCATCGCTTTGGACATATGCTGATTTTTTACATTTTTAAGAAAATGAATTCGATATTTCGGTACAATAATCCATCTATAGGATAATCTATAAGGATAAACTATCGAAAAATGCAATAAAATTTATTTACTTCGTGAAAATTCTACTGCGTTGTAATTAGAAAAAAAAATAGCAATCGATTTTTTTTCTTCGATATTACAAATAAAGCTACTTGAAGATCTTATTTGAACAGTAGGAGAACTTCATAAACAACTTTTTAAAAGTTTTAGGTAGTATTTTAAAATTATAATATAGTCCACCTCCAGCTTATTTCTTATACTTAAGCGGATAAGATAGAAAATGGGTTGGCCCACCATTGAAATAAAGCCTTCACTAATTATTTACAGTGACCACTTTAAAAAAAAAAAAAAAATTGAACAACACTCATATATTTTACGACCTATCTTGCATAAAACATGTCAGGTTTGTTTTAATTTTCAAGAGAATATTTTGAGGTGTTAGACAATTAAAATACCTCTCGTTTTAGGTACCTAATTATTAGATTTCCTTTATCGATACTAGGGTTTTCCGTCTGGTAGCTAAGGAAAGAAATTGTCGAAATTCTTTTTTTTTCTTTAAACAACGTAGAGTGCTCCAGGTGAGTTGATACAGAAACACCAGCACACAATGCCGCACCTATGTCCCACAATAGTAATCTGTTTGATAGGGAATATGGTTGTGGGAGGAGAGACAAGTCGCCAACAATTTTTTCCCCACTCGCCTTTCGAAAGACATCCAACCATTAGCTCTAACCCTAACTAGACCTCGGATGTACCTCATGAAAAAACCATTACTTATTAATTATTATAACTTATTGAAAACTTATAAAAAATACTATTACTTGAAACCTTATAAAAAAAAACAATATTACTTGAAACATTATAAAAAAATATTATTACTTGATATACTATGAAGCCGTATAGAAAAATACTATCACTTGAAACCTTTCAAAAAATACTGTTACTTGAAACCTTATAAAAAATACTATTACTTGAAATCTTATGAAAAAAAAAAGTACTAGAAGCTTTATAGAAAAATACTGCTGCTTGAAACTTTATAAATGTAATTAAAATAATAGTAGTCAGGAAATCACATAATTTAAATTGGATTTTGGAGAAGCTAATGTATGCCTTACAAGACAGCAAGAAAACATAAACAAAAAAAAGGAAAATTAAATTACCTAAATTAATACCTGCTTTTATTAAGATCATAATAAAATTGAACACCTCAAATTGATTATTCCTCTAATTAATATAAATATTTTTTAAGATATTTAAAAAAAATAATTTTGCAAAATATTTCAAATTTATTCTGTTGTGTGATGTAGCAGTTTTAAGTGTCAAAAATATGGAATGTTACTTTTAATATTATTTTGATAGGGTCGTTCTATTGATCCAACAGAAATATCAAACTAGTTTCAGAAAAACACAACCAGATAGGTAACTCCAATCGCGAAGAAATCTGATTAACAGTCCCGGTGACAAAGAAGAATTGAATTACACCGTCTCTCAGAATAAGTCAAGAAATCAATCAAGAATCTAATAATGGGGGAAGAACAAACTCCGAAGAAAGTACAATCTGGCTAAAAGGGGTATGAACATATTGGGCAAAATCATATCAGCATTTTATCACTCCAGACGGTTCCATATCTTAGGAAATGCCCGACTTAACAGCACTTTTCTTCCTAGAGAAGAAAGAATGTGCCCGTGTGTTTAGATACAACTAAACTCTGCTCTTCCCGAGACCTAATTTAGCCATACAAAAAGAGTAAAGATAGTTGAAAGAGACAGGGAATGCTGGGACTATACAATGGTTTGGGAACCACTTACAAGGAATTCCCAATGCGACGTCGAAGAGCTAGAGAAGGTTTATACAAAAGCCAGAGCAAAGTAATGGTTTTTGTAGGGTTGCTTGCAAATAAGGGTGTACCTTTCTTCCTGTGTACTGTTCTTCAAAATGAATAATTGAAGATTTTGTCTTTACTGTGCGACCTGTAATGATAGTCAATAAAAAAAAATATTAAGAAAAATTAATAAAAAAAAAGGAAAGACCGAAATTAAAGGTTATTTTTTCTGTTGAGGAAAAAATAAAACGTGTTTCGTTTCAGCTCTGGTATCTAAGAAAAACATATGCTTTCAAAACCGCAAGTTTCATAAAAAATAATTTTTTTCGTAAGCATCAGTTGTAATGTAAGTGACGCTAACCAGACCAATATTCTAGTTTTTATTTGAATTACTATTTTTTGCTAAAACCTTTTCTTTAAATCTGAAATTAAGAAAAAAAAGCCAAATATAAAATTAATTGAAAAGAAAGTTATTATAGTATTATATAACAACGGATTTTATACGATATATATTGACTATACCTAATCATGTGATTTAAATCTGACTTAATTCCATACCTGTAAGCGACACCACGCGTGTGTATCGAACCTGATTGGATTTGGAATCGATAAATGCCAGGATTTACCTAAGATGACATCACTTGCAGGTATCCAATTCATACGATAAAAATTATCCATCCTTTCATACTACAAATCCAAACGTCGTTTCTCATCTTCGATTATGAGTTGTCCTATTTTTTCCTGTTTTCTAATATCTTCAGCTCTTTTGTTGCTAACCTTTCATATTCACGCTCTTCAAACGCTTGATAACGGATTCTTCCAAATACTTACAGTGATAACAAGAACACTGAGATAAAGACGACTACGTCATACTTACATCTTCACGACCAAAAACCATTTAAAGAGTAAATAATCAGAGTAAAGACAGATGAAACACACATAAAGTTTACCTACCCAGTTGAGGATGAATTGCGAATGTTAATGCTTATAGGGAGGTTAATGAACAAACGATTTCTGGATAAACTGGTTGGAGCAAAATTTTACGTAAAACTTTAAAAATGCAACTTGAAACGCTTTTATTCCGTTTGAACTTATAACAAAGTCATCATCAAAATATATACATATAGCTTAATTTGTTTTGAAATGTTACTTATTTATTTTGGAATTTATTTAATTCTCGATTTCGTAAAAACATTGGTAAAATAGATTTCCGTTTAAGACGTAGTGTGCAAAAATGTGAGGTTCCAAAAGAAAACATAGCAATCTATAATAGCTTAACTTCGAGCGCTTTCTGCAAAACTAACTAAGAAACAAACAAAAATATTTTTTCTAAGAACTCTAGATCACTTAGGATCTTAAAGCGAAATCCGTAGTAATCATACGAAACATTGTAAAGCCACAGAAACTTTTCTCCACAAACAAAAATAAATCCTTTAAAAATAAGAAAGAAATATACGTTCCCAAAAATGAAGCTACATTAATCTCCACTAAATGTTTCTGTCTTGTAGTAGTTGCCCCAGAAGCTTTTTCTTTCCCGTTTCCCAAATGTCTTGCTTATCCCCAAAAGGTTACAAGATCACCTCCTGACCTTTCATTAGTTACCCAAAATGGCACACTGAGCGTAAGTTATTATTGCATTAAATGCTTCATCTGCTATTCCGCTCCAAATAGATAAAATATATTTCAAGAAGCTTTAATGTGTTTATCGATATTTTTGTAAGCAATCTTAATTTATCTATTAGATACCATTTAATATTTTATCTTTTTATACCTTATCTATTAAATACTATTTATAATATTAAAAACTATTTAATATGTGACCTATTTCGCTCTGGTCTCTAAAAACATATTCTACTTTACGAAGTACTTTGTATGAATTTATAATTAATATAGACAAGATTGAGAATTTTTTTGAAACTTTAAGAAAATAAGGCAGCATCTTTTTCTTTCTTTTACCCAGCTATCTATTAAACTATATTTGTATTAATACTATTTAAATATATAGTATTTTATACTTCTTGTAGATTTCATTTAGACCAAACGCATATAATCTTAGTATACAAAGGTTATGCGTGTCTATATTTAGTTTTCAAATATGTGTATGTACTAGTGTGGTTAGTTTTCAATACGTATGTGCATTATGCGCATTATTATTTGGAGACTCAAAATTTTTCGCTTTTTCAATGTTTATTTTTATAAATTCAATGTGTATTTCTCTTCTTAATCACCTGCACAGGATATATCCTCTTGACGATTAATATATGTTTAGTTTAATTATTTTTGAGCCTATCCTTTTTCTGTTTTGTTTAATAAAGTTTGTTAAACAAAAAATAGGAAGATTAAAATACATATAATTTCTTAACATTAATTATCTTTTCTAGCTAAAAATGAGCTATAATAAAACTTACGAAATACTAAAACATTTATAATGCAAAATTCGGTTGATCACAATAAATTAAAAAGCTACATAAAAGTAAAATAAATAAATTTATATGCAGGCGAAAAGGAGGAGAGTTTTGAAATTTTTAAAAGAATCTCAATGGAATAAATTAAAATCCTGAAAAAAAGAATTTTATGTATAACTAATGAACTGTAAAAATTAATTTAAAAAAAATGGCAGCACCATTCCTATAATACAATCTTTCTCTTTGGTAAGTGTAGAGAAAGCAGCAACAAATGTAATATTTCTGCACGAATGTTTCGTTTAAATCAAAAATATTAAAATCTATTCCTCATCCAGAAATTGTTTAGATTTAATTGTTAGACAAAAATAAAACTATGCAATAAAATGAAATAGTCTTATGTATTTCTGTAAAAAATGTAACTTCAAGAAAACAGATTAATTTCAATCGATGAAGACTAGTCTATAATATGAAAAATGTACTTTAAAAATTGGAGATGAACGCTTTAGAAGATTTCTTGTAGCAAGCAAGGGGCTGAGCAAATAAGTCAAATTTCAAAAACTAGAATATTTTCCTTACACACAGACATAAAGCAAATCATTTTAAGGAATTTAGGCATCTTTTAAGCCGTAAAAATACGGAAATGGCATCCTAACAGGAGAAAGCCTTCAAGGCAAACTCTGTTTCACCTCCATTCATTATTTAAAATAAAAAGAACACAAGAAAGTAAGTTTGGATAAATCAAGAATAAACCACGTAGTTTCAGATGCTGAGAAACGGTTTTCAAAATATCAAAATGCTAACACGTTATGGCAGGATTAGTTAAGAAGACGCAGCAAGGAAGCAGTATCGAAACTGATTTTGCTCAGCAAGTACAAATTACCCAAATTGAAACTTTTCTGTAATATTTAAAACAGAAGTAGTTATGTGACAGAGAAGTTTTCATTACTTTTTAAAACGAAAAAGATAAATAAAAAATTAACTTCGACAGAAATATTGAGCAGAGAAAACTATTCAACACATCCTCTGTTGCAAGTCAAAGAAAAATCATTATCCCTCTGGAAAGAGCCCGTTTGTATCTAGTGTAGGCAAAATGGATGCCAAGTTCCCAGCGCCAACATATATCAACATCGCCAAACTCTTGAAACGACGTAGCACAGTCTCCATTTCGCTTACTTTCTTATTAATAGTAATAGGTATTAACAACAATAATAAATTAACAAGAAAAAAGAATTATTAAAAATGATATCTAAAAATCGAAACAAATATACGTCTTTCTGTTTGCATTCTACAGCGAAACAAAAGTAAAAATTATTTTTCTCGTATTCGATTTGTCAAGAGCATAAGACGCGACGTTTTTAGTGGTCCAATCAAATTCAATGCTCTTGCAATGTCATATAGTTGTTTCTTTTTCAAGAACGAATGTTCTCTTTATTTATCGAAATATGTCGCCAAGTCTAAGATTCCAGTAAGGCTAAGAAACTAAAACCTTTCTTTTCAATAATTATTTGATAGATATCGTAAAAGATAGCACAAATGAAATTTCTGCATGACGTGTTTAACCTTTAAAAGCTATTATATTGTTTTTGAAAGAATATTAGTATAATTTCATAACAAAATAAAACAGAGCTATATACATATGCGGATGATTACTTAAATCCTATACCGCAATGGCTTTTTCTTAACTTGCTAAGGAGTATAGATTATAAGGTTCACATCATCAAGCTAATACCCTTTGCCCAAGGGGGAAAAATTAAAAGCTTTTCATCAGCAACTAGATGATTTGAATACTCATAGAAGCACCAATTATTCATGTGTACTTAAGTCTTTGTTTACACGTTTAACTTATTTGATCTCTCTCTTTGAATTCACTAAGGAAAGTAAATTTGCAAAAAAAGTTCCTCCAATAAGGAAAAAAAAAAGGGGGATGAAATTTGCTTAAAGCAAAGAAAACCTCATTAGATGGTCCTGTCTGTAATAGGGCAAGGGGTCAAAAAATTAAACCTTCACAAAAGCTGAAGTTAACTTTTCGAGTTTTTTTAAAATGAGTTAATAATATAAAATAAATATAAAAATTAATAAAAAAGTGAGATATTTGTAATCACGAAACCATTTTTATTTATTTATTAATTTGAAAGAACTAAAATAGCTTAAATGTAATAATTTGTAAATGGCTGATGATGGAAACGGAAATTTTTAATCAAATCCCTAGGCTAGATGATCAATTTATGCAACCATGGATCCCTTAATGTTAATTTTACTTCTTGCGTATTTCACCACATCGAGAACTTTTGACGTATCAAAATTTGAACGAAATTGGTCGAATAGCTCGTTTGAAAATACGACTTTTTCAAAATTAGATTTCTCAGGAACTATTAGACCGATTCCGCTCAAATTTTGTATTTTGGCCTTTAAAATTGCATTCTTTAAAATGACGGAAAAATTTACTTACCTTACAATTCCAAATTATTTTCGACTATTATTAAATAAAATAATAAAAAATAATATAATAAGTTTTATTTTGCATAAGGTTTTATTTTGCATATAGGTTTTATTTTGCATGGAATTATCTTTGGATAAACAAATTTTATAACTGCGTGCAAAAAAAACTCCAATTTTAAAATTTTTTCGAGATATGGTGAAAACCGCAAAATATAAAATTAACATAAGGAATCCAAACTTTAGAGCCTTCTCCTGACCAAACTATTGGGACCATATTCTCAAAATCGCGACTATCCTCTATATTTTGGGGGTCAAACCTTCCGAATCCGTAGTAAAAAAGGTAAGTTTATTCAAATAAAGTACATTTTTGTCAGATTTCGTAAAACGTCGTCTGCACTAATTAATTAGCATATTTAAGGTTACCCTCACGAACCATTAAGATTGAGTCCTAGAATGTGAAGATCCGATCAATAGATCAAAAGTTATTCAGGGTGGTTCATTTATTTATTTTTACGCACTGTACAATGTGGAAACAAATAAATAAAATAGAGGGACAATTATTGATCTTCGAAGTCATGTAATTTTTATATATCTTCATTTCTTAATTACTTAAAAAAAATTAATTGAAAAGGGAATTATTTTTTTCTTTAATGGCGGGCACTTGGGGTTAGTTCCATTAGTCACAGAAATGCCAGAACTGCTACGCTCTTCTCGTCACCCAGTGTTCACCTATGGCGAAGCTACTGCGGTGGAGCAGCGTCGCCCACGTCACACAACCACAAACCCGTTTATAGGGCGGGTCACATTCACACAAAGAGGAAAGGACATAGAACA